CGTGATATAAATAAACCAACAAATCATTTATGCTGAGTTCGTTAAAGGAAATTGCAAAAATATCTCAATATTGATTGGTTCCTGCATTCGACCCGGAATCAAAATTAAGAAAATAGTTCTTTCCAAAATGCTAACAATCAAAATTAGCGACGAAAAAATCTACTGTTTTTCAAAGCTGGCGTAGTGTTACTTGTAGACAGGATCCTAAGGATTCTCTAGAGTTATATTCTTTAGTTGAAYATACTCGTCACCTCCCTTCCGGTTTGAGCCGGGCGAATATTGACATATCAACAACATTGAGGGTGGAGATACTTAAATATTACAAACGTCTTAAGTGAAGAGTTGTTTATGTACWTATTATCTCCAATAAAACTATAGCCTGTTTATATTTACTTTATATTGTGACCCATCCCTGATAAATGCTCAAACATTGGCAGAATTTTTGTCAGGGGAGGGGCGGGAGATAATTGAATTAGTATCTAAATTACTTTTGTTTGTTTTGTAGGAGTGGAGTCATCACTGGTGTCATTCCGAAAAAAGTCTTCTGAAGATAGCTCAACTCGTAGCGATGGTAGATTGATATCAGTGGATGAAGGCGTCGTGTTGGAAGGATCAGAAAGTACCAACAGCAGAGAAAAGCTAAGTCATCCATTAGAAAGTTCTAGCCTTGCAGAAATGGAGGCTGAGAATCGAGCGTTGTGTGAAAAAAATGCTGAGATGAGAAAACGGTTGAATGATTCCGAGAAAGAAAATGAATCTTTGAATCGTAAGTTGTCTGAAGTCGAGAAAAAACTCCAAGACAGTCAAAGTATTTTGCCTAAGTTTGCAAGTGATTCTGAACTTGTGGAAAAATTAAAACTCGCAGAAAGAAGCAACCAGGAATTAATTTCTAAAGTTCAAGACTTGGAAGAAAAGTTGAATATAAACTTAGACAAGTCATTATTGAAAAGAATTCGAGATTTGGAAGAGAAGTTGAAAGAGCACGCAATWGCAGAAGGTAATGAAGAGATTGTCGTAAATAAAGTTGCAGTTGGGTTAGAGGATGCTGTTTCTGATAGCATGGCACTGCGTACAAGACTTCATGAACTCGAAGAACAGCTGAAGTCAAGAAGCAATGATGACCTCTCGAGATGTCGAGACACAGAAGTTGGTAATGACAACAGAAGATTAAAAGAGGAACTCAAAGTACTTGAGGAGAAACTACACGACGGTAACGAAGCAAGAGGATTACTTGATAAAGAGAGAAAAATTCAGGACGAGTTGATTGAAGAATTAAGTGCACAGCTCAAAACTGCACGTGCAGGAAGCAGAGAGCTAGAAGAAAAAGTCAAAATACTTGAAAACTGTTTRAAAAGATCTGAAGCAACCAGGATAGAAGAGTCAAACGAAGCGAGAAGAGAAACCAAAGAACTGAAGATAAAACTACAAACAGCTGAACACAAGAATAATCGTTTTCTTATAAAAGCAGAAGAGTTCGAGGGAAAGTTGAAAGAAGTAGGGAAACTTGTTGCACGGCATAAAGAAAATGAGAGATTTTTGCAAACGAACATCGCTAAACTACAAGCAGAGAATTCACTGCTGAAAAAAGATGGTGATGCTTCAAATGAAAGCAAAATGGARGAAACCAAAAATAATAACGCTGAAGAATCGTCTCCTGTGGAAGAGGAGCAACAGAAAATGAGAGAAACTATCGTCCAGTTGGAGACAGAAATCTTCCTCAAGGACCAGGAAATTCTTTGCCTCAAAAACGAAGCGGTTGACTTGATGAGTGAAGTTAGCAAGCTAGACACTGAATACAACGAACTGGTTGCTCAGAGAGTAAAAATAGAAARGGATATGAAAGAGCAGCGTAATCAAAGAGATGAAATCGAAGGAGAACTACAAGGTGTGCTCCAAGAATGTTCAAAGCTGCGTTGTGATGTTTTGACTTTGATGGACGAAAATAACGCATTGAGGAATAAGATTGAAAGTACCTCTGATGTAYTGAAGACATCTGTGTCGGCTGTCCTGTCCGAAAGAAATCTCCTCGAACGAGATTTACAAGCAGTCCAAGAAAGAGAGAACGAGTTGGAGAAGTTAACTTCGGATTTTGAAACTAAGAACAGCAAGTTGCAAAACGATATTGACGAACGAGAGGCGACAGTGAAAAARTTGCAACACGATTTGGATGAATTGTTGTCGGAAAAATCTAGATTAAACTTTTCTCTAAGCGAGATGAAAGATGAAAAAGTTAATGCTGTTGAGGAGAATGAAGCTCTACAACACGATATAAAAACACTTGAACGAAACCTCTTGACGCTACAAGAGAGTTTAACTTACTGTTTAAACGAGAAAGTTGCTCTAACAGARGAAATATCTATCAAGGCATCTGAGCTTGAGACGTTGAGAACCTACAGTTCGCTGTGCTCAGAGGAGATAAAAAGTATGAAGACACAGATCGAGTTGTATAAAGAAACAGAAGGGATYTTGAATGGAAGAGTTGAAGAACTTAAAGTCAGCCTGGATGAATGGAAAGAGGAGTCACTTCGAATGAAGGAAGAGCTTGGGTCGATAGATGATGAAAGGAAATGCYTAGATAAAAGAATCCATGAAGCGAGCAGAGCTATAGACCAAGTCAAGGAAGAACTTATCTCATTAATGCACATTGTACTCAGTTTGCAGAAGGAACTCTTGTGCCTTGTAGATGGGATTTTAGTTTGTCTTGGGATTGAAGGAAAACAATTAGAYTTTTCTCGCCAGAGACTTATATCTATTGATTCTGGTTACACTTCGACRGCAACTGAAGCATCAAGCGAGAGAAGTAGTGCTGGAAGTGAATCAAATATCGCTGAATCTCTCTCCAATTGTAATTTAGTACCAGACGAACAATGTTTAGTCAATCCTTCTGAGATAAGTATTATCAGAGAAAACAAGACMGAAATCTTTCGATTTCAAGAAGAACTAAAGATTAAATTATTAATTATCAAGGATTTCCTGCAGCAGTTTAAAGATAATGAAGCCTTGGAAAGTATAAAGTCGTGCGAAGCCAGCAACATTGAATCCCAGTCTGAAATATCACAAGAGAACACGGGGGAGAATCTTACGGAATTTCCCTATCTCAATAAATCAGAAAGAGAAAAATTAACAAAGTTGCTATCGGTGTTGAGAAGAGAGAATGGCAATGAAGGGACGATGTATGACTTGTACTCTAGACTCGAGGAAAAACTGTCTGGCCTCTCCTCGCATCTTGCGACAAAGGAGCTTCAAATTTGCGATTTGTTAAAAGAAAAGTTGAAACTACAGAATGAATTGATGAAGAGCAAGTATGGTATTACGTTGTGCGAGCATTGCTTGAGCGATCCTGAGAAAGTTAATCAATCTAATGAACTTCTGAGGGCGAATTTGTTGTCGTACATGGAAGACACGGCGAGGCTGGAATCAGAGATCATGGAGTTTGCTCAGTACAAGGCAAAGTTGGAGGAAGAATTGAATGAAGTTAGAGAACAGATTACAGAGCTGGAAGACCAGATTATTGAGGGACAGGAACGTGAGACTTTACCAAGGTATGTTCATATTTCACCCATCCATCATATACCATGTCGTTCATCCATCTATCTATCTATCCACCCACCCATCTCATCTCTTATGTCTTATCCCATCTTATCCCACCCATCCACCTATCCATCTATTCATCCATCCATCCATCCATCCACCCATCCATCCATCCATCCATCCATCCCGCCATCCATCCATCCATCCATTCATCCATCCATCCATCCATCCATCCATCCATCCATCCATCCATCCATCCATCCATCCAGCCATCCATCCACCCATCCATCCCACTATCCATCCATCCATCCATCATCCATCCATCCATCCACTCATTTCTTATATATTTCTTTTATTCTTTCTTTCTTTTCAATGTTGTTCTTCATGTCATTGACTTTCCAGAATGGATGTGAAAACGGAACCGTCAATAAGAGCAAGCACAGTATCATGCAACGATTCATCGACTAGTTCAGACACAACCGACGCCAGCGAGAGGAAAACCAAGACAGAAAAACGAGTAACGTTCGACAAGATGGTGGTTGAACCAAAACAGACCTCATGCTTACGCAAAAGAAAACATAGAGACATCAAGAACCCTGAACCAACACAAGATACACGACTTCAAAATACAAGGATGGTAGCCGATGACGATAGGAAAAACTCGAGTTTCGATGAAGTTGATCTGTGTGCACTGTTGGAGTCTATTCCAATCGACCCGATCCCGGAACTAAAACCTAAAGTAGAAGATAAAGAAGTTATCGAAATCGTCAATCGACTTTCTGCTTATGAGAACATGTCATTCGACGATAAAGTGAAATTTGTCGTTGAACGACAAAACAGCGAAGACAGTTCGGAAAAACCCGACGAAGTTCCGAATAAAAATTCGTACGTGATTCGTTACAGTGGTGAAGGTTCRAATTGTAAAATGTGCGGATTAATGAAGAAGAAGAAAACTAAAGAGTCAAATTCGACGAAGAAGACAGATGAAAAGAGTAGAAAGATCAAATATACTTCTCACAGTCTGTAAAAAAAAATTATTATATTATTATTATTATTTCAAACTAATAACAAACATTGAAAAAATATATATTAAGTAAAATATATACTAAGTTATTACACAAACAATTTATATACAAGGAATTTATATTTCTGAAATTTTGGACTCTTATTTTGTTCAAGTTCTTTTGTTACGGTTATTTTGCATTTAATTGTCTTCCACAAATTTTGCCGGATTCAAGGTTCTTGTTTTATGACAGAATAACTGAAGGTCTTTAGAGAAATTGTTCGTTACAAGCGTTCGATAAGTATTCGTAAAACAAAGAAATTAACATCCTATTTTGTAATATTTCTTTAAGATAACAGTTATTAGGATGTGAAGAAAGCTCTATTAGAACCGGAAAAGACACTAAACGCAAAGAAGAGGATGGTCAACATGCTCACGCAAAACTAAATATTTTGGGGTTTTTTTTTTTGTTTTTGTTTTTTTTGTTTTGTTTTTGTTTTTCGTAAAGTTAATACGAATTGTAACTAAATTTCCACAATTCGTAAGAAGAATTGCTCAAATTAAGATGGTTTTTGCGGAGATTTTCTTTTGTTTCGCTACAAACATGTTAAAGTTTTGATTTTGTTATATTTTTGGTCTTTTCTTTTCGTGTCACACTCCGTATTTATTATCATTTTCGTTTCAAAATTTCATTTTCTTTTAGAAAATCGTCGTTTACGAAAAGAAAATATATTAATTTTCCGGTCGTCGACTTTAACACTAAAGCAAAGTTCCAGAATATTCTACATTATTCTTGAATTTCTTTAGAAAATAAAAAAATATGAACGTTAACATTGTTCAATACGTAAGAGAATCATAATTGCTGTTAATTCTTGACTTCCTTAATATTGTTAAAACTAGAGTTCTTTAAATTTTAAATACTAAAATATCATATCTACAATCGAAAAACTTCCATAACTACCCAATATTCTCAAGGAATATTATCRAAATTTATAAATATTAATAATTATCAAATTTCATAAATTTATGATCAAATTTTGCGTAAGTAGTTTATAACCTTCACATTTGTTTTTGGTTGATTAAAAAAATAAAGATTAAGAACTTTCATTAAGGAGAGATATTGTGAACGTTCAATAGGACTGTCTCCCGTCCAGCTGTTCGATTCAATGTTGTTATAATGAATTTAAGAATTTGAAGATATTAATTTKTCTTTGAATACGAATATATAATATTTACACTTTGCGAAGAAAACTTGTCRGATCTTTATTTAAAATATCGGAATTTTGGTTGATAATTTTTTATATTAAAATACCTCGAAGCTTTTGAAAAGTTTTTTAACTCTAATATTTTGAAAATACCCAGAAAATTTTTTCTCTTTTTTTTTTTTTTTGATTCCTTCAAACATTGTCTTATTTTTCTACCACAATTTTTATCAACTTTCCCAAACGCAGTACGTTATTAATTTTTTGGAATATTATACCTATCCTCCTCGCTCCTCATCTTTTAGAGTACAATTCAAAACGTTTGTCTCAGCATATGCAAAAACTGGGTATAAAAATACTTATTTCAATATACAATGTTTACATTAACTTACTGTAATATACAATGCTTACATATGATGCATACATATGTTTGCATTAAATAAATATATATATATATGAGCAAAATTAGAGATGGAATCTTTCGTACCATTTGCTCTCGTTTTACAATTCAGTTTATGTCTCCAAATGATTTCAAAAAGTAATACTACGAAAGTTTGATTTGCGTGAGAAGTTTATCGTTAAATATTTCTCCTATTGGTACAAGTCATCTCATCTCCTGTTTCGTGAGTAAGTATCGYCATGGAAATGTCAAGTTGGCAAATTGCATTGCTCAATTGGTCAAAAACCTTGGCTTGTAAGGGTGCCCGTAAATATAGTGCTATGTAGCAGGGTGCTTATTGAGAAACAAACGAAAAATTTTTTTCAAAATTAGAAACTAGTCAGTATATATGATATGATCTTGCAGGAAGTAATTAATAAAAAGAGACGTATAATTGTTCGTATAACGTCAAGTGTCGTCATTGATCATAAATGTTCATTGATCACAAGGTTTCATTGATCATCAGGGTTTTTCTTCTCTTCTCTTCTCTTCTCTTCTCTTCTCTTCTCTTCTGCTCTCTTCTCTTCTCTCTCCTATTTC